GTGTGTGTGTGTGTGTGTGTGTGTGTGTGTGTGTGTGTGTACCACAGGTAGTGAAAAGGTGTTTGGAGGTTTGGGGTTCAGAGGAGGCGCTGGAGGAGGCCAGAGAGACGAGGGAAGAAAACAAAGAGGTGCAGAAACAAAAGCGTTTCAATAAGAAGGTCAAAGGTCGGTTTTGTGTTTGTTGTTTTGTTTTATTGTGGATCACACTGTGATGTTAATCGTGTGTGTGTTTGTGTCAGAGTTGCGCAGGGCCGTGAGGAGCAGCATGTGGACCAAAAACACCAGCGTTCACCAACACGAGTATGGACCAGAGGAGGTGGTGGACCCAGAGGAGGACCTTTATAAGAAAACCTGCACCACCTGCGGTCATGAACTTTCTTATGAGAAGATGTGAACTTAGACGCACACACACATTTGTTTTTCTATTCTCATTAATCCTCCCCTAGCACACACCTCACCTTAAACCCAAAAATAGTTTTCCACCAGATTAGGACCGGCCTTTGGTCCCCGTAAGAACTACTGGTCTTGACGAGGTAGGCGTGTATACCAGAGACGGTTCTAAAAGATAACAAATACAAGTACACACACAAACACAGTGTGATGAGGTGCAACTTAATATCTGGTGCAAACCCAAGTCCTGCCTTATTTATTTATTTATTTCTGTCAGGTTGTCATTTTTGGCCTTAAGAGTTTATTCAGAGCTTTTTACAGAATCCACTTCTGCAGAGAGCTAAGCCTTCTGTCCTGTCTGCATGAAGATTTTACGACGGAGTATTAGGGTCACACATCGAGATTTTTTTATTATTATTACGAGATTAAAGTCGTAATTTTATGAGAATAATGTCATAATGTTACGAGAATAAAGTCATAATATTATGAGATTAAAGTCATAATATTACAAGATTAAAGTCATAATTTTACATGTTTAAACTCGTAATATTACGAGGGAAAAAAGTCATAATCATGACGTGTCTGTTTCCCATTCCTCATTTCCTCCTTACTTTCCCCACGCCTGCTGTGTACAGCCATGTCTCTGTGTTTATAAAGTAGTCACTCGGGTCACTGTTAGTTTAATATGCTTTCATCCAAATTAGCTACATGACGACTAAATCTGTCAATGCATCCATTAATTACAATACAGCTTCAGTTTATAGTTGTTTGCACAATTTCCAGGTCCTGCTACAGATAGTTTGATGCTAATGTGCTAAAAGATTAACTGTTTTTTTATAGCGATACTAAAAAAACAACTTGACAAGTTGCTGAACATTCCTCGTTTTTGTGTTTGTAAAATTATGACTTTAAACTGGTAATATTACGACTTTTTTCTCGTAATATTACGACTTTGAACTCGTAATATTACTACTTTAAACATGTAATATTACGACTTTAAACTGGTAATATTACGAC